TGGGCCCCCCCCCCCAGTTTTGAGCACTTCGGTTTGAAAAGACCCTTTAATATGGCGGCCATGATTGTTTTCACTCCGAAGTGCCCTTCAGAGGGTGATATATCCCGTTTGGAACGCACCGCAGATCGGGACTACGGCGCACAGAGCATGAATTATTTGATTTAGATCGGAACTTCGGAGCAGGTTCGCAGATCTTTTGATTCAGATCGGTACTTCAGAGCGTGGAGCGCGAATCCATTGATTCAGATCGGGATTTTGGTGCGCTTCGTGAATTATTTGATTCAGATCGGTAGGCTACTTCAGAGCGCTTATTGCAAATTATTAATTGCGAACGCGTATTGCGAATCATTTGATTAGATTGGAACTTCGGAGCGGGTTCGTGAATCATTTCGCGAGTTGAATGATTTGCTATTCGCGAACCTGCTACAAAGTCCTGATCTAATCCAAATGATTAATCGGGACTTCGCGTGTTGTGAATAATTAATTATTCAGATTGGGACTACGGAATGCCGATCGCGAATCATTTGATTCAGATTGGAACTTTGGAGCACGGATCACGAATCATTTGATTCAGATGGGTCTTCTGTGGGGGTTCGCAAATCATTTGATTCAGATCGGGACTCAGCGGGTTTGCGAATCATTTCGCGAATTGAATGATTCCATTGATTCAGATCGGTGCAGGTTCGCAAATCATTTGAAGATCGGGACCAGTGTTTGGGAAAGTTACTTTTAAAAGTAATGCATTACAATATTGCGTTACTTCTTAAAAAAGTAACTAATTACGTTACTTCGTTACTTTTTATTGAAAGTAACATTTTGCGTTACTTTTTAAATCTGGGCTGGGCTTGCTTGTTTGCTTTTAATATAAAAAGTTATATTTTTGGCAAATGTAAAAGCCCTTTCACACCAAAAGCCTCAGGCTGAAGGAAATGTAAATTCACGTCTGTACAGTAGAACCAGAGGCGGACAGTAACTAAGTACATTTACTTGAGTATTGTACTTAAGTACACTTTTTGAGTATCTGTACTTTACCTGAGTATTATTTTTTCTGGGAACTTAGGAAATTTACTTTTGGTACTTAAGTACTTTTAAAAGCAAGTACTTCTGTACTTTTACTTAAGTAAAAATCTGTCTTTACAACTTTTACTTGTAATGGAGTAATATTTGACAAGCAGTATCTGCACTTTCGCTCAAGTAATGGAGTTGAGTACTTTGTCCGCCTCTGCACACCTGTGAGTTGGATGGATAACATGGGCACAGGAGAGCTTTCAATCAATAAATGGGGAAAAAAAGTAACTGTATTTAACTGTAACTGTAAAAGTACTTATTTGAAAAAGTAACCCACAGTAGGTGGCGATATGCGCAAAGATTGCAACTCGCCATAAAACTAAGAAGAAGAAGAAGAATCATTTGATTCTGGACTTCGGAGCAGGTATCGCGAATCTTTTTCTCTGATTGTTGATTGTCTGATGTTTTTTTTTATTAAACAGTACAAAACATCAAAGTACAGTTATAAAAACAAAGAAAAAGAAAGGAAGACTACACAAATACGAACGAACCCCTTATAGGTTTTATTAGCCAATAGTAAAAGTGTAACCATGTTTTTTTTTTCTAGTTAAGTTTTCCTCTATCAAAATAATAATAAGTATTATTATTATTATTATTATCATCAACATTATTTAAAAATTTTCTTACACTTAATGCATTATTAATTAATCTGAAGTTATCATCTATTAATATTAATTCACATTATTATTGTTATTAAAATGACATACCGACACAAAATGCTTGATAATTCATCTGGAAATGTCGAGTTCCTCTCTGCAGTTGTCCTGTAACAGTGCAGCAGGATCTCAGAGGAAGTGTGTGAGTCTGAATCACTGTGTGTGGAAGGACCGTCATTCAGAGAAGAAGCAGTGAGGGAATACGAGTCAGTTATCATGTTTATTTTGACTCACTGACGGAGCATGAGAGCACCATTTACCAGACTATGCAGCTGAAAACAAGCGGTGAGGAAATTAAAATATGAAATTACATTCTGTATGGTTATGATAGTGTTAATATATCAAAAGAGCACGTTCAGACAATTGTTTTAGTAATAACTGTAAATATTACACACTAGACCGGTAACGTTAATTCCTTAAGAGGTGCTTCAGATTATTTGTATATTAATAAATTAGTTTATAAAATAAATGAAAAGAAAAAACGCTGTTAAACGTGATTATTTACTAAAATGTTTACATTTGTGTGTTTTTTTTTTTTTTTAGAAATCGCTCATAGTAACCTGACTTGAAAGATAAAGAAAAACAATATTTTTTTCACAAACATGTCTGATATCATGAAACTCACAAAAACTGAAACATTTTTGTTAGTTGTGCCTGTAAATGTAAGCAGTGCCCAAGTGCAGCGGAATCTGTTTTGAATCTAACCTATGTGTTCCAGCGGTAGGCCCCACACCATCCTGCGGCTTTCCTACTTTGAGTGAACGGAAAAGAGTGTCCTAGTTTGGCTTTGGACCGCTGGACGCCGGTGCGCCGTAGTAACCGCTTGAGTGCAAGAGCGACATCTGGCGTAAAAAGTCATCATGACAGGTATGAGCTTCAATGATTCTTCATTATTGAGGGTCCAATTCATGTGAAGTACATACATGTATTTGTGTAATGAATCGCTGCAAAAAATTACCATGGTAAACTAGTAACTACATTATTTATGTTTGAAACTGGTTACAATAGTGAACTGAAATTAAAGTGATTTTGGTTTGAATACTGGTCCAGGTTTGGCTGTGCTGTTGGAGAAGGTGTGCAGGTATAAAATGTTGGCTTTATTTAAGAGTTACATGAAAAACTTTTAAATAGCTGGTTGGCATGCAGAGTAGGTTATGCGATTGTGTTTAACTGTCCACGTCAGTGTGTCTGATGGAAGCATTTATAGCCAGTTTCCCAGACACAACTTTAAATTGTCAATGCATAAACACCACAACTTAAAACTTTCCTGAAAAGTTTTAGCAGATCTTTTAAAGTCAGCATGAAATGGAAAGGCATCAATTTTATAATCTAATGTTTCTTTATGATCTTACTATGAACAATTTATCCATACATATGGATGCCTTTTTTTTCTTTTTTGACCTTATAATTTTTTCAATTTCATTTGCATTTAATCATTTAGCATTATTTAGAATGAATCATTTATTAATCAGTCTTCTGGTAAAATGGAAGACTTTCTCGTGACGTATTGGTTTAGGTGTAGTCACATTTACTGTTGCTCTGTGAACTTTTGCAAGGCAGAATCCAGTTATTTCAGTAGGAGTCTGTGCAATAGGGAATTTTGAATGAGGCATTAATCACGCAAACTTGTTACGCTGACCAACAGAAAGCTGCTTGGTTTGAAAGTGACTTAGTTGTGAGCTGTGCTTTATACATTGCTTGACAGACAATGGACTTTTTTTCTCACAAAATTTTGCTAATGTGCCTTTATGTGAACCTTTCCACTTCATCTGAACACTGTCCTTTCGTACAGTCATCTTTAGCTCTAAGCTATATAAGTTTGCCTCCAATCAACAACCGATGAATAGAACCGATTCCCTGCTTTATTCTTTTCTTTTTAATAAACAGGATGTACATCACAATACACAAGAAAGGAGCTGCTGCTACTTCAGTCACATTGCATCTTTAAGATTCTGTTTCTTATAGTCAGGCCTGAATGAAATCTGCAAACATAATTTTTCTTTCTGTGCAGATTTTGAGTGCTGTGCTATTAATTGTAGCTGAAAGCATTTGTAAATGACAGTTATTCCCATCCATTCTGTAGGATTTGGTGTAGTTTTTTTTTTTTTTTGTGCTGCATTCTGTGGACACAGATTCCTTTTGGGCCTACTTCTAGTCCTGTTTGCAAGGACAGCCCTTGGATTTGGCTGGTTGGCATCTCTCTCTCTCTCTCGCTCTCATTAATAAACATCTCACTGACACAATGAGTTCCACTATTCCTCCTCCGTCATTGTCCCAGTAAACTCCAGAGAGAAAGAGAGTGTGGGGGTTTGTCGGACCGAGGAGACGCTGTCAGTGGCAAGGCACAGGAATCTGCCCAGAGCTGAAGGGATGCCATGAGCTGAACAGCTTGCAAAAGACCCTGTGATTAACTTTAAAAAGAGAGACCTTCAAACCTGAGAGACATCAAGAACCAGGCGCTTTACAGGAGACCTTGTTTGCCCTCTTAAAAATCAAGATTTTGAAGGATTTAATAATATTATTTCGGCGATTTGTGTAGTGTTTGATGGGCTAAGGTTTTTCAGAGAATTTCTAATTGAGGTGAATGCTCAGCATTGGATCAATTTGCTAATTTGCTGTCTGCATTTTGTATTTTAGCACATTAGAGGATTATGTGAGTTGCAAGAGGGCAGGCTGCTTTTACATTGATTACTTTCATCCATGGGTTTATTTAGATAACCAAAGGACGATATTTTGGTGACTTTAAGAGTTGTTTGTGAGTGTTGGAGCTGGTGTTCTTATGCCCATGGCTGTCCCTGAACCTGTTGCCACTCGGAGGTTGGCACTGGACTGTCGTACCCTGCTGGATCACCGCCCGAGTCGTGGTAAGAGGTCCTGTCTCTGCCAGGATACTGATGTATTCTTCTCACAGAATCAGATTCTCTCAGTTGAATGGTATTGTGCTCATGATGCAACTCTAGTATGATGTCATTGCACAGTTTTTAAGTACATATGCTTTGATTAAGAATTTCCAACTTTTTTTATTTAATCTTTTGAGGTAAATATTGTATGGTTTTGGGTGAGAAGACAAGTGCAAAATTTAAAAGTGTCATCTGCCAATGCAAAACTGATGCAAGAATGTTGTTGTTGGTGGTTGCCAGGGTGTTGCTATGCAGTTGTTCCGAGTCATTGCTAGATGGTTGCCGGGGTATTCTGCGTGGCTGCTAAGTGAATTTTTACAAGCCCTAAGTCAAAAGTACCTTTCTAATCAAATTCCTCGCAAATGATGACAGTGCAGAGGTACCTGGATGCTGAAATCATGGCAGATATATTTATTGCGTCGTCATGGAAACCCCATCTGTGACTGACACTTGGCATCTGCGCTCTGGATGGTTTTAATTAAGCTAAGTTGCTAATTAGCCAAGCCAAATTCCTGTGTAAATGTCACTCGGCTGTTAGTGGATTATGTCAGATTTGCTGTCAGATTTGCTTTGACATTCAAAAAACATAGATTGCTATTTTTACCAGGGACTGAATCTTCATTTTCATTTTTGACTTGTAGTGTTACTTATATACTACTATAGTATTTATTCATATGTATTATTATTATTATTATTGATAAAAATATTGATAATAATAACCATAATAATATTATGCCATATTTTTGTATTTTGAATTAGCTTTTATTTTTATATTTTCAATTATCATTTAACTTTTAATTTAACAATTTTTCAAAAAAAAAAATTCAACAATTTTTTTGTTTTTTGTCCTTTTTTGTTTGTTTATATACATACTTAAATGTACTGGAAAAATGAAATGGAAATACATTTTATATATATATATATACAGTATATATATATATATATAAATTAAAAAATATTTTTATGTCAGTTTTAATCATTTAAGTACTCAAACTTATTTTATTTCAATTACTTGACACGGCAAGTTTGTTTTTTATCTATTATTTTATTTTAGCTTTATTTAAAAAAATGTTTAGATATAATCATAACATGATGTCATTGTTTATTGTGGTATTGCATATCTCTTGCAGTGTCTAGTGCCACTTCCAGCAGGATTTTTAGCATGTGTGAAAGCCTACACATTAGCTGTGCTGTTTGTGTGTCGCATGTTTTCCACAGCACAGAGAGAGTGTAGGAGGAGAATGATGGATTGCAGGAGGAAAACCATGCCGTCTGAAAGAGAGAGACAAAAGCTATGTTTGGAGTTGCATACTAACATACTGCTCTAAAGCCCTATTCTGGCGGTAATTATTTCTCAGGGCGATATAATGTAATTTCAGCTTTTACAGGTAGTAGTTGGTGATTTAATTGCCATCTGATTGGGAAATGACAGTGTTTTTCTCTGATGTCCCTGAAAATCCCTGGCTGAATTAACTGCCTTTAGACAAACTCCAGGGTCATGTAGGAATTTAATTCCTCTCTGAATCAAGAGTTTCAGAGGAGGAACTGATGGAAAAACCTTTTCTGACCTATTTTTTTGGCTATTTTTTTTTTTTACCACACTTGCATTTTTGAAATGGCAGAAATAGCTTCAAAAGGTGTTTAAAGCATAACCATTTCTTTTACATTTATATAGATCTCATATACACCAGTGGGTTTTGAATATTCAAAAATTTTTTGATTTATATAAATTAATTATATCGACTTTTTAATGTCGATACTAATAAGAAATGGTTCTTGAGAAACAAATCGTCATATTAGAATGATTTCTGAAGGATCATGTGACGATGAAGACTGGAGTAATGATGCTGAAAATTCAGCTTTGCATCACAGGAATAAATTACAATTTAAAATATGTTCAAAAAAGTTTGAAAACTTTTATTGTAATATAAAATATTGTAATAATATTTCATATAACTGTTTTACTGTATTTTTGATCAAATAAATGATGAGCTTGGTGACTTCTTTCAGAAACATAAACAACTTTTTTTTTTTTGTATTTTCAGAAATATATGACAATACAGACTAGACAAGACACGCTGCTTTTTACTTTCAAGACATTGTAGTGATGTTTCTTAAAAAAAAAGCATATTTAGATTTAAAATTTTCCCAAGTTTCATGTAGTAAAAATCAGCAGTATACATTGTATAAGCAGTACACTAGTATTTGATTCCGAACACAACCAGAGAAAGAGAGAGATGTTGAGAATCTAAGAAAGCGGGAGGAGCTTCTGCCGAGAATGAATGAGCACATCCCACTCTCTCATCCTCTCTCTCCCTCTCCCTCTCTCTCTCTAGCCCCTCCCTCTTTGAGTGGTGATTGGCGAGCAGAAGGTGTACACTCGTGCGTGTAAAATGAGCGTTATTCTTTTGAGACCTGCTGGCGCAATAGCCAAGGTCATCCCAGCAGCATAGCTTCCCCATCACTGTCCACTAGTATGTGCGATCGCTCCTGTTGTGTATCGCATCACTTTCAGCCGTCAGAGCAGCAGACCGCATGTGTGTGAGCGTGTAGGCTCAGTGTCTCCAAAAATCTCTCTGCAGCTGCATCTAAGAAGCTGCAGGGAAGGATTGAGAAGAGAGAGCAGCTTTACTGACATCAAGAGCAATGTATGGTAAGCGCTGAGCTTGTGTGTGTGTGTGGGTTCTGCAGGGGTTTGTGTATAATAAAGGGAAACCGGAATCTTCCCTGACTGCATTCCTTGAGCTCTCAGGCATGACTTCTGTTTAGTACATTCAGTAAGTCCTGATAAACCAAAGAGTTAATGCTGCCAAACAGACGCTGTCATGAGATTGCTTTATGGTAGGTTTGTTTGATCGCAGGGTTTCTTATGTTGTTAAGTTTTCTAAGTGTGTGTTTGTTTGATCTGCTGGTTTGTCATGGAGATTTTAGCTGATAGGTCATTGGCAATACAGCACATTGTGTACGTTTGATGACCCTTCAGTGCGGTTAGTGATTGTGGTGTTAACAGATCACATTACGACTGGATGTTTATCGATCAGAACACAATTCACCTCGTGATGACAAGTTAGCATGTCAGCTGATCATGTCACAAGAGAACTGATTAATGCAATCATAGTTAGTCACTATTGCTCTTTTATAGCTCAGGAGACTTAATGGATTTCTTGTGTTATAAATCTCGTAATGTTTTGCCTTTCCCCTGAGGTCCCGCTAAGGCTTTTGCGCTAAAACACAGTCATAGTTTAAACCATTTTCATGATTTTTTGACACCTACAATCATTCAAAGCAGCTTTTCTGAAAATGCATAGAAAGTTTCCAGTTTCACAAAAATAATCTCATCTGTGTGACGTCAGAAAGTTGAGGAAGTACAGTTTCAGTAAATGGTTTAAGATGGTTGGGATCTCTTCTGAATCTGTATTCTATATTATGTAATGTCATGTCATGTCATGTCATGTTTTTATCAAATTTTATGCAAATATCGCATTAAAAAATGCTAAGATGCACATCAATTCTAAGCAGCGACTTCCATTTTTATTACAGATATTTTGCACCCGTTTCCCAGGAAATTACCATTTTATTCTCCTCAACACATGGGATGGATTTTTATAACACTTACATATCATTCACTACATTGGCTCTGTGATTGTACTCTGCACAATGACAGTCTAATCTCATCTAATGATTATTGTAGAAATAGAAATATTTTTCATCTTTACTCATATATTGCTGTTGGACTTAGCCATTTGAAATCATTTGATTGTCTCTGATGGGCATCTGATGGTTTCAGGTAGAGGTGTGTGTGTATACTGGAGATATCTACTGAGGCGGCCCTCTCTCCTTGCATGTAAAAATAGAAGAATGTGGGCTCTAGCTGTGTGTTATATAACATCACTGAAGGGCAGGACAGCATCTCCTAATGCTGACCCATTGAGCTCTTCACATTGCTGTTTGTGTTTGTGTTTGCCCTTGTGTTTGTGCAGATGTACCTCTGTACTTGTAGTTAGATTTCACTACAAATAGTGAAATTGATATGTAGAAACAACTGATTCTCAGTGTCTTTCAAACAATGGTGTAAGGTTAGGGCCAGTGGCAGATGATTCACGTTATGCTCTGCTCTCAAATCTATCTAGCTATCTTAAAGGGGTCATATGATGCTGCTAAAAAGAACATTATGCTGGGCTGATTGTGAATTTACACAGGTGTCTGAGAGAGGAAGTAGACAGTTTCTGCATTCAGCCTTGAGACTCAGCCCTAAAAATGCCTCGTGAGCAGCACTGATTGCTGATGACTGACAGTGAGTGTACGTGTGATAGAAAAACTGTTTAATCCTCATGTACCCACATATCTTGATAGTGTTATTATGGCTAAAGTGAAGGCTATTTGGCTACTTAACAACTTGGACTTATAATATTAATATTTTACTGTCTTACTCATAGATTGTCCTAAAGCTTTCACTTTTTGGATTAGTTTATTAGTCTAAACAATTGGCCTTGAAACAAGGGCGAACACTGTACAGACCCCCTTAAATTTTTCACTTTTTGTTATATTGCAGCCATTTGCTAAAATCATTTAAGTTAATTTTTTTTCCTCATTAATGTACACATAGCACCCCATATTGACAGAAAAACACAGAATTGTTGACATTTTTGCAGATTTATTAAAAAAGAAAAACTGAAATATCACATGGTCTTAAGTATTCAGACCCTTTGCTGTGACACTCATATATTTAACTCAGGTGCTGTCCATTTGTTCTGATCATCCTTGAGATGGTTCTACACCTTCATTTGAGTCCAGCTGTGTTTGATTATACTGATTGGACTTGATTAGGAAAGCCACACACCTGTCTATATAAGACCTTACAGCTCACAGTGCATGTCAGAGCAAATGAGAATCATGAGGTCAAAGGAATTGCCTGAAGAGCTCAGAGACAGAATTGTGGCAAGGCACAGATCTGGCCAAGGTTA